CAAAATACGTATAATTTTTTGGGAATAATCCATATAACCTATGCTATAAACAAAAAATTGTAGGATTACTTACCGAGTGTGCACCATTCGACGACGCCATTGTTTAAACTTGTTTTCATCGCGGAGCGGCGCATCAAATGGCGGGCGCGTTTCTTGATAAGTTATTTTTCTGCGAAAAATTCGCTGAACTTTGGAGACATCATTAATATAAATCTAATTTTTATGGCCGTTAAATAATAAATGGTTTTTAGTAGGTCCGCTGCTCGTTTAAACTCAACGGTTTGTGCAATATCCGCTATTGGTCTAGATTCGACCAATCCTGTCGCGACATGAGTCGGCGATGACATTTTACCGTATTATACAAATCTCTTTTAGCATGTTTATACGAATACTGTCGCAATTTTTTTGCCGTTATATAGGAATCCGCATTATATGAATCCGTTTTATAGGGATCTACTGTAGTCGTTCAAAATTGACTTGGGTAGGAAGCAGTGCAGTAAAACATGAGCTGCATTTTGTATTTTGAAAAAAGTCTAAAATAACAGCATCAACGGCTTTTAAAAGTTTTTAAATTTTTTAAACTATATATCCAGAAAATTACTTTACGTACTGTACAGTACTTACTACGTAAAGTAACTTACTAGATTCGTTTTTTGAAACTTACTAGATATTTTTATCACATTGCGTCATGGCTGCATTAATAAGCACCACAACGCGTTGTGATATTTTTACATTGCCAAATCGCGTTTTTGTTGATTGAGAGGTTGCAGCCGAAGTTTTCATTCCGCTCGACGTTCCAAATGCCATTGTCAAACTTCTAGGCTACAGGAAGGCGGCGCTGAACGTCCGACGTTCACATTTTCGCGTTGAAAACTTCGGCCGCAACCTCGCTAATATTATTTTGAAACGTTTGATTTACTAACCACATCTATAATAATAGTTATTTTTTTAACCTTTTTAAATATTATTATATCAGAATTATATTTTTACTAATTAATTATAAGAGTATATTGAAATTTAAAATTTTATTATTAACAAGGAATGGCTTCAGGTGGCGCTTTATTAACTGAGAACGAAGGGAGTTGTGTATAAATTGGCAAGTGGAAAAGTACGAATTAACCTAATCTTTGTTTTTAACTAAATTGTCATCATGTGAGTTTGATCGAGTTTCAAATGTTATGATTTTATATGTAAAGTGTTTCTTTGTATCAATGTGCAAGTTAATGAATAGTATAAATAAAACATTTTGAGCTACCTTATCAGATTAGGATAATATGGAGTTATAAAACAGCTGAATATAAAGCTAAATCATGCAATTTATCATAAAACTCGAGGAATAATAAACAGAAACTACTTTAAGCTATAAAGTTTAGATGTATTTGTTGTTTTTACTTATTGGTACTTTTGATATAATTTTAAATGATGTAACATTGAATCGTTTAGATTATAAACGACTCTTATCTTTGTTATTGAATTCCTCACATTCTCCTTGGCCTTATCAAATTAAACACTATTCTTAAAAGAATTCTTTGTTGTTTTTGGTAGAAAGCAGTATAAAAAATACTCTATCACAAATTTACATGAGTGTTATACTTTTTCTGTATTTCATTTATTGATATTCATTCAATAATTATAAGATTTATTAGAACTGTAATTTGTTTTAGGATTTCTTGTAGCTTGTGTTAGGATTAATATTATTAATCAGTGTTTATGATGTTTGTTTATATTTTCATTAGCAGTTTATATGTGTACTAAACATTTTATGGTGCTTTCTAAAAAAATTTTAGACACAAATTTTGTCAAAATTTCCATTTTTTTTCTTCCATATTGAAAGAAAAGTATATTTTTTAAATAAAAGTTGCTCAAAAAATAATTATCGTATGCATTTTTCAATTTTCATTCATTATGTTTTGCACACAGATTTCTGTTTATGTTCATTATGCTGTTTTATTCATATTTATTAATTTTTTTTATTTTGGATACATTATCTTTAATATTTGTGAATAAGAAATTTGAACAGTATTATTTTAGAAAATAAATACAAAATTAAAAGGTTATAACCTTTTTTTTCTGTTTATGATGCAAATGACAACCAATTTCAATGTACTGAAATTAAACTAGAATTATATTACTAGAAAGATATTTTTGATGTTTACACTTTGTAATTTTTTTCAGTTATTTTCATTAGAGTTGTCAGATTTTTATTTTTGTACATAAGCCACTTCACATATTCCCATAATCACTAGAGTTGTTTACTGAATGGCCAGACATTTGGATTGTCAACATTACAGCTGTTGGTGATATCTCCATTCTGTGCAGCTTGTTAAGCTTTAGAACAGTTTAATTGCATTTAACATTAGCTGTGGCCTCTAGAAAAAAGATATGAATATCAATAGTATGAAGGATAAACACCATTCCAAATTTAAGTTTCTAGCAGGCCATGGTAGAAGGACACTTATAAACAAGATATGAGAATAGAGACAAGTTACATATAAATTGTCCAGGATGTGTACCTGTATAAATTGTCCAGGATGTGTACCAGGATGTAAATTTTATGTTTGTTTTATTTTATTTTATTTTATTTTTTGTTTTGTTGTCAGTTTTTAATTTACAAAGATGAATTAAATGAAAACTGAAAAATATAATAAACCTTTTGATTACTTTAGTATATAGCCAAGATACGAGAATAGAGACAAGTTACATATAAATTGTCCAGGATGTGTACCTAGATCTGGCAAAACTTAATCCTGTAAGGCTTTTGAATCAAAGATGCCAGAAAATTAGCAATTGATTATACCATCATGGTAGTGTTGTCTAAACTAATATTTTATTGGAATTGTTGATTTTGGTTCAGTTGTATTTACTGATGAAATTCTTACAAAAGTTAACTGAAGATTTTTAATAGTAGTTTAGTACCTTACATAGATCCTGTTGCTAATATCCCTTTTAATATGAGTTATATATACACTGGTGTTTAAGATTAAAGCAACAAGCACAAAATTTGTATAAAATCAACACCTTGAAATGTGAGTAGTTGAAACTTACAGCAAAGTGTCACAATGTCTTTCACATAATCCCACAAAAAGAAATCTAGTAGGGTTATGTTGAGTGATCTAAGGAGTCTGGGTGTTAGTCTCCATTGCCAATCTTTCATACAGAAAATACTGTCAAGCAACCTACACAAGCATCATAAAAATATTTTGAGTTCATCTTGTCCTTTATCACAAGCTGCATTTTGATATACTACTTTGTTTTCTTAATGGAATTTTATACTATAGATCTTTCTTGGACACTATGTATTTTATCCATTCAGTAATATAATATGAAAGATATGATACACAAAAATGTTCTTTTCTCTGTCTAAAAAAGCATAGAATTGCATTTTAGAAAAATTACTAGGTTAGTCTGTGGACTACCTGGCACTTGCATGCAGTGGTCTAAGGACTAGACTTTAAGAACTATGATATAAATGATAATCAAATGCTAGGAATATTGAACATTCTGTTAAATGTATATTCTTACTATATATAAAACTTATATATTCAACTTATAGATTTTAAAGTTATATTCTATCACATTTTTTAAGCCAATTTAAAAAGAAAGTCGTAGACAATGGTCTTTCTTCATTTTATTGTTAAGGTGTAGGGATAAGGAATGTATTACATGCCTATCCAAACTATCACATAATTTGTCCATCATGAAGCATACAGTAGTTAAAGTAATATGACAATCACTAAATAAATTACAATATCAAATTATCTAAAAATAAAAATTCAAAATAAAAAAAATACTTCTGATGCTATAAACGTTTTTTTTTTTAGATTTTTTTATGGAATATAGTGGAGTATAATTTTGCCCCATCTATAAGAGCATGCTCTTATATGCATAGAAATACAGTATAGGTTTCACACACCATCATCTAACCCACCTGATCTAACCTTATCTTTTAACAAAAATCTTTCCTCTTTTAATTAAACTTGTTTTTGATTGTTAGACAATTTTCTGTGTTGAGTGTCACTACAGATAGGTTGAAAGAACTTGAAATTACTAAGATGATAAACTAGACTGGAAAATCAGCTTTTTTAAATGAATATAATAGTTGTATGTATTTATTTATGTATGTATGTATGTATGTTTGTTTTATTTTATTTTATTTTTTGTTTTGTTGTCAGTTTTTAATTTACAAAGATGAATTAAATGAAAACTGAAAAATATAATAAACCTTTTGATTACTTTAGTATATAGCCAAAAGCCCGTAGATTTAGTTTGTTTTTATAGTGAAAAACCCCTACTATCAATCTTCAATACAATCTACATATTCAATACATATCCTACAACAAGTCAGAAACTCCTAGATTCCACAGGAATCTAGGAGTTTCTTAAGCTGTCTTATTGCTTTATGACCATTTACCACCTGTTTAACTTCATTGGCACTGAAATGTCAACTCCACCAGCCATTTTTTAAATGTCCAAAAGTATGATAATCAAGCAAATGTGAAAGAATTGGTAACACTTCAAAATTCATATCTCAAATAAAGTTAATGGTGAGTATATCATGTGAAATCTTCCATTGTCAAACTGTAGTGTCATACCAATGGATAAACAATGTTGTTGTTCAAATTTCTAGTTTCAGGTAATGTAGCAACTCATCATTGTATCTTTCCTGTTCATTGTTGTTTTTGGACTTTTTAAAATACCTTGCATCATTTCAGTTCTGATGAAGTTAAACAGGCAGTGCATAAATGGTTCCACAACAAGATCTTTTCTTCTGTGGAATCGAGAAGTTAATGACTCATTGAAGAACCTGCTGAACGTCAGGAAGTTCCATTGAAGAATGATGATAGTGGTTTTTGGCTATGTAAGCAATCAAAGTGTTTATTATACTTTTCTCAGTTTTTATTTGACCCATTGTTGTATTTTTTATAATGTAAATTTACTTTATTTCTGAAATATAATTTTAGCAAGTATCATATTCTTTCTGTATGTTTTGGCAAGAATTTCTAAAACACAATTTAATATCTGTATTGTGATTTAATTAATAATTATAAAGTAACACATACATTTTCAAGTACTGAAAGTTTATCTAATTATTTTGATTAATACTTATAATGAAGATGGCAGGATTTTTCACAAAGCTAAATAATTTCCCAAGTAAATGTTTTGAATGTAAGTTGAAATTTATAATAAGTCTGTTCAAGAAAATCTTCAACATAAGATATATTTTATCAGTAATAAGTTTGCTGTTGTATATCGACCACATCTTATTACTGAGAGACTTTGTTTATTATGGTGAACAAACGTTTTCAACCCACTCAAGGGGGTCATCCTCAGGTTATTGATGTTACATGAACTTTTACAATCGTTCTTTAACAATTGTTCTTATTGAAACTCAAGGATTTTAAATTTGTTTCTTCTGATTCTATGTCACGACTTGGTGCATTTATAGACACTTGGCAAATAATTCCATCACCTACATTTACTTCTTACAGAAACGCGTTTCGGGTTTTCGCCCCTCTTCAGTCTGTTACGTCGATAGTTGTGACTTGTGTGTCCGTACTTCCCGCTCCCTTCCCCTCCCCTCTTTTTTCCCGACTTGNTTTCCCGGGATATTTTCCGGGTTAAAAAAACAACCGGGATCCTGGGATCCCGGGATCCCGTTTCAGAAACCCTAGTATAAAACCTATACACCAGGGATGGCCAACACGTAGACCGCGGTCGATCGGTCGACCGCAAAGGTTTTGAAAGTAGCCCGAGAAGCTAAAGTTGAACAATTTGCTTTCACTTAAATTAATGTTTAAAAATCTTAATTTGATAATTTATTCTTACAATAATAGACTGTCTGTACTCATACTGTTTGTATTTATCTCAATGAACAATGCAAATAAATGTTAACGCATGCGCATATAAATGGCAATCGCATAAAAATCATGTGTCAGACAGTAACGTGACATATTCATAGTCGCTCGCAGACTATATTTTACCGAAAAAGTAGCCCCTAAGGGATAAAAGTTTGGCCACACCTGCTATACACAAATTAACAGTGATCACCTTTATCTATCGTTTGACCAGAAAATGGCGACCTATTATCCTGTAACACATTCTCGACCAATCCTCGATAGTTAGTAATGGCAAAAGCATGTCGTTACTTTTATATCTAGAACTTTATCGTTTTCGAGGATTGTAGAGTTATCTATGATGAAACCACTAGCCCCATCTAGTGGCCTCCTCGAAGTCTAACATTTTTGGTTTCATGAATTTTTCGTAGGGTATACAGTAGTGCCTCGTACTTCGAATTTAATTAATTTAATTCATTCTTAGATGCCGTTTGAACTCCGAAACAATAGTTTGCCCTTTTTCACTGAAATTTTATTAGAGTCTGAAACAATTTTTCCATTAGAAATAATGGAAAGCGAATTAATCCATTCTGAAATCCTAAACAATACTCATTTCGATAAACTTAAAACAGCAAATACACATAATTTAAGATAAAAATAACAGAATTAAATGACCTATTAATAAATTAAAACGCGAAAACAATGAATAAAACACGTAAATAATGTATAATAAAATGAAAATTGTATTTGCTGGTCGCACACCGTGATTAAAATAGACCACTCTGTACAGATATGATATACTTTATACTATATGTATAAAAATTTTCCTCTTGTTTTTAGAAAAATATCTGTAGTTATTTATAATTAATTGTATAATTTTCAATGCAAAAAAATGTACATACAGAATATATTATTAAATTTTTAATTTTTGTTTGTATATTGCTCCAAACTTTCTATAAATAATTTATATTAAATGATTATTAATAGAAAAAACATTGAAGAATTAAAAATACAGTACTGTATACAGAAAAATTTTTTTAATTTTAAATTTATTTTAAAATACTGTGACTATTTGGTACAAGAATAAGAGAGTGAAATTCATAATTTAAAGTTAAATATAATACATAAATTACGAATAAAAATTGAGTGTTTTAAAATATTCTTATACTATAAAAAATTCATAATACAAAGCTATTTTGCCAAACAAGTTTGCCAAAATCTAAAAATCCGGACGGGTCGAAAAATCTTTAGGAATTTTTCGGGTGTTGTCCTACCGGATATGCTGGCCCCGCCCCTCACCACCCAGCCAACCCATTGTGGGCCTGACCGAATCCATAATGGGCTTGCTAAAAGAGTCTCTCTTAGTGCCCACAGAGCCGAAAGACTTTTAAAAAAAAAAAGCTCTATGATTAAGGTGCTGGACACCGTATTTACGGAATTTTCGTTCGCCTTCCGTAATTTTAGTTTTTTTTCTTTTTTATGTGTAACATAATTATTTTATCATATCATTAGCATTATTATTACTATTATTATTCTTCACGTTTAAAGTCTATAGAATAAGAAATTTAAGAATCGTGACATCATTTCTTGTTTAGTGAAAACGAAGTCTTTATAGATTTAACTCATTTATGTCGTTAAAAATTTTTATTTCTTCATATTTATTTGCACATCCGATGGTATTGTTATATTTGAAGTGTAACAAAAGTCTCTCCGAAATTTTTATGAATGACAGAAGAGTATGTAGACGACCAAAAAAGAAGTGGAGAGACAGTAAAAACAGTAAAAAGATTGAACGAAATTTAATTAAGGAAAATGTGTTCTCAAAAAGAAAAAAAACTAGCCTCCACTAAGTCCTCTTTCAAGTTAGCGCTGAAGTGAGATTTGATTGAAAATATAGTCGATCCCCCTATAACGCGGTAGATACGTTTCACTTTTTATGAAATTCACGTTCTACGAGTCCTTAAATACATGAGCCAATCACAGCCCGGCACGTGTGCAGTTTACGGACTACGGCTATTTGAACGGTTTCCTTCCATAAAATTAATAGATTCTAGACTAATTTGATTCAACATTTCCAACATACGTTTAATTTTTTGGAAATAATCCATATAACCTATGCTATAAACAAAAAATTGTAGGATTACTTACCGAGTGTGCACCATTCGACGACGCCATTGTTTAAGCTTGTTTTCATCGCGGAGCGGCGCATCAAATGGCGGGCGCGTTTCTTGATAAGTTATTTTTCTGCGAAAAATTCGCTGAACTTTGGAGACATCATTAATATAAATCTAATTTTTATGGCCGTTAAATAATAAATGGTTTTTAGTAGGTCCGCTGCTCGTTTAAACTCAACGGTTTGTGCAATATCCGCTATTGGTCTAGATTCGACCAATCCTGTCGCGACATGAGTCGGTGATGACATTTTACCGTATTATACAAATCTCTTTTAGCGTGTTTATACGAATACTGTCGCAATTTTTTTGCCGTTATATAGGAATCCGCATTATATGAACCCGTTTTATAGGGATCTACTGTAGTCGTTCAAAATTGACTTGGGTAGGAAGCAGTGCAGTAAAACATGAGCTGCATTTTGTATTTTGAAAAAAGTCTAAAATAACAGCATCAACGGCTTTTAAAAGTTTTTAAATTTTTTAAACTATATATCCAGAAAATTACTTTACGTACTGTACAGTACTTACTACGTAAAGTAACTTACTAGATTCGTTTTTTGAAACTTACTAGATATTTTTATCACATTGCGTCATGGCTGCATTAATAAGCACCACAACGCGTTGTGATATTTTTACATTGCCAAATCGCGTTTTTGTTGATTGAGAGGTTGCAGCCGAAGTTTTCATTCCGCTCGACGTTCCAAATGCCATTGTCAAACTTCTAGGCTACAGGAAGGCGGCGCTGAACGTCCGACGTTCACATTTTCGCGTTGAAAACTTCGGCCGCAACCTCGCTAATATTATTTTGAAACGTTTGATTTACTAACCACATCTATAATAATAGTTATTTTTTTAACCTTTTTAAATATTATTATATCAGAATTATATTTTTACTAATTAATTATAAGAGTATATTGAAATTTAAAATTTTATTATTAACAAGGAATGGCTTCAGGTGGCGCTTTATTAACTGAGAACGAAGGGAGTTGTGTATAAATTGGCAAGTGGAAAAGTACGAATTAACCTAATCTTTGTTTTTAACTAAATTGTCATCATGTGAGTTTGATCGAGTTTCAAATGTTATGATTTTATATGTAAAGTGTTTCTTTGTATCAATGTGCAAGTTAATGAATAGTATAAATAAAACATTTTGAGCTACCTTATCAGATTAGGATAATATGGAGTTATAAAACAGCTGAATATAAAGCTAAATCATGCAATTTATCATAAAACTCGAGGAATAATAAACAGAAACTACTTTAAGCTATAAAGTTTAGATGTATTTGTTGTTTTTACTTATTGGTACTTTTGTTATAATTTTAAATGATGTAACATTGAATCGTTTAGATTATAAACGACTCTTATCTTTGTTATTGAATTCCTCACATTCTCCTTGGCCTTATCAAATTAAACACTATTCTTAAAAGAATTCTTTGTTGTTTTTGGTAGAAAGCAGTATAAAAAATACTCTATCACAAATTTACATGAGTGTTATACTTTTTCTGTATTTCATTTATTGATATTCATTCAATAATTATAAGATTTATTAGAACTGTAATTTGTTTTAGGATTTCTTGTAGCTTGTGTTAGGATTTATATTATTAATCAGTGTTTATGATGTTTGTTTATATTTTCATTAGCAGTTTATATGTGTACTAAACATTTTATGGTGCTTTCTAAAAAAATTTTAGACACAAATTTTGTCAAAATTTCCATTTTCTTCCATATTGAAAGAAAAGTATATTTTTTAAATAAAAGTTGCTCAAAAAATAATTATCGTATGCATTTTTCAATTTTCATTCATTATGTTTTGCACACAGATTTCTGTTTATGTTCATTATGCTGTTTTATTC